ATGTTTTGGGTTGGAAGGGACCCCTAGAGGTCATCTAGTCCAACCCCCCTGCAGTGAGCAGGGATACCGCTAACTCGATCAAATTGCTTAGAGCTCCGTCCAACCTTCTCACGGTTTTATGGCTGGATAAGGGATTTTTACTACTTGCTACTTGCCATGCTTGTGCAGTTATTGTTGTTTTTATTCCCTAACGTTAAGGGTTCTTTGTTTGATAATGTGCTACTGACACCACTCGCTTCTTAGAGCTGGGACTGAAGAGCTTTAATTTGGAGGCTGGATAGAAGGTGGGGTAAGAAAGCTTCCAGTGCTGGGATGCTGATTTAAATCTGTGCGGGGTGGAAAGTGCCGCTGGTTACTAACCTGTCTGTTTTAAGCATGGCCAGCGTACATTTTTCCCCATGGAAAATGGGGATGGCTGTAAGGGGATGAAGTCACAGGAATAAAGCTGGTTTTACAGTGGGGTGAAACTGCCTGACAGGCAAGATGCTTCCACTTGCCTTTTGTCCACTGTGGTTTGTAAGCTATAAGTTCATCATTATTCATTTTTTTAGGAGCTGCATTTTTGAGGAATCAAATGGTAATTGGGGGTCTTTGTTGGCAGTGATGGTATAGAATCAATTAGAAGGTGTGCTGAGATCCTTCTTTTAGGGACAGGAGCTGAATTAAAGACTCATGGTGCTTTAGCAGCATATAGGGAAACTTTCATAGGTAATTTTCATCTTCCCACTCCTTGGATAAGAAGATGGGTTATGTTCCCTGAGCTATCAGCCTAGTGATTTTTGTGAGGATTGTGTTTACAGGGGGAGTAGAAGCAGCATATGGCATTTACAGTGTGTCTGTGTTATAGCTACTGATTTTTCCACATGTCCCTAGTTGCTATGTACTTTGGGGAGACTAATATTTCCAAATGCTTTGGTGCAATTGGCAGGTGGTATAAAGACAAAACTGTGTAACTCAAGTTATGTGGGTGACCTGGACGCTGCTGAGTTATCTGATACAATAATCAACTTCTTTCTGAAGTGTGGGCCTTTAACTTATATGTGGTTGTAAATACATAGTTATAGTGAGGGTCATCTGAATTTGTTCCCATTCACCTTCCCTCAGATGTAGCTCCCATGTGTATAATAAGTAGTTCAGAGTTCAGCAAGGGTGAGAGAATATCAGGTTTCTTTAGTTTTGTATTATTAGCATATAATATGACAAAGAATGTTGTTAAAAAGATTAGGCAATAAATAGAATTCTAAGATCGTGTCACTGATGATCTAGTCAAAACCAGTTCCCCTTCCCTGAACCAAACTACATTTCTACTTACTCCAAGAAGATCCTCTAGGTGTTATGGTGGCTACTTTTCTAAGGGGTGCAATATAATTTGTTCAGACTTTTCTGTAAAATAGTCTTTGAAGAGATTAAAAAAAAAAATAGTCAGAGGTGTGTGAATGCCTGGTCTATATTAGTCCATTCCTCTCGTAGAAAATTTCTGACTTGGTCAAAATTCAGTTGGTTTCATTTAGAAGGCTGGTGAGCTGTATCCTTAGGAATTGGTTGTGAGTTGGTATCCATCCCTTTTGCAGATGGGAAAAAGTGTGTTGTCCTCAAGTTGGGCATATTTATATAGGCAGATTAAATGAAACGGTACTTAAACTGTTATATTAACACCTGCTATATTAATGAAGAATCTCTTGCACTAAATTTGTTCCAAGTTTAGAAGGATTACTCATGAAATATTTTTTTCTTTTCTTTTTTTTTAATTATTTTATTCTTAGTGACAGTTGCGTGGTTAAATAAGGTCTCCTAAGAATAACATTCTCTAATCTCCAAAGATGACAGCTGTTGCAGGTAATCCAAAATGAGTATTCAATATCTTCATTTTGCTATCTCTTAGCTAACAGACAAAATAACCTGATGTTACTGATTGTTATTTATATGAATTTAATGTATGCAGAAAACAGTTTGTGAGGTCTATGCTATTATACTTCAGATTTGAAGAAAAGGTTCTTTTACTGGATAACTTTTTGTTTCTTAGATAAAAACTAAAACAAAAGCAGGTTTGTCAAGGAAATTACTTGGTTTTCAATATTTTCAAAATATGCTTCATATTTTAAGGTACTTTCAACTCTTTCCTCCTGAGTAACTGTGGGCACTTAGGAAGACTTATGTCCCCATTTTGTGCCATTTGTAATGAGGATATCATTTTCCATATCATACATTTTTGCTTCCATAAGTAGATTATCATATCTGCTATGCTTGAACCAAAATCTCTTATTTTCCGGGGTGGGGTAAGAGGAAGACATTTCTTCGTATGTTTTTCTAACCTGGCTCTGAGGTATTGATGCATGCTGGTGTGCTGTGGTGGGTGATAATCATTATTTTAAACCCTGTGGATTGGACTCTAGGACACAATCCATAATTAATACAGAGGCATATAAGGAGGTAAAGAGCCAAATTCCCAAAGGTTCATTTATGTAACCCAAGCTGTTGGGGAGTGTTGGCTTCAGCTTTTTCAGATCAGAAGAATGGCTTGTGTTTGCAAAAGTTTTTGTCCTCTGTGTTCAAACCTTGACATTCAGCAGAGCCTCTGATTCTGCATAGAAGGAAGGTCTGGGTGCGTGAAATGTAGCTTTTTTGCTGATGTCCCTATCTCCATCTTCAGAAGACCTTTACTTGCTAAGATTAATGCTGCTTCTCACATGTAAATGCTTTCTATTAAAAATGTTCTAATGTGGTATTCACCCTGGAATTGGCTGGAGTACTCATTGTCTTCACTGTAACACAGAAGTTTTAATATCAGGGCAGATGCGCTATGCTTTTTACTGCTTAACATGCATCTGCAGAAAAGAAAATAATTTCAAGTGTTTCTCTGGAGAGGCACCGCTTTTGAAAATCTGGATTGTGTTGTTTTGGGTTTTTTTCCTCTATCAATGCAGGCAATGATAGTGTTGTGTATCTCTTATATGCCATATCAAAGATGACAATTTACAGTATACCTGTGCATATATGACCTACTAATATAAGAAATAAGTTGTTAAGCCTTGCTAAGTATTTTTCCAATAAACATGTACAGTATTAGATGCTATAATCTTATCAGTGGGCCTGTCAGGCTGTCTGTTTCTGTAGATGCTTTTGGTTTGTGTTTAATTTTGATTGTTTTCAATCAGCAAGTGAAATACAATATAGTTTAAAACTAGGATTAGCGTGTTACTCTAGTGTCTGTTCTGCCTTCACCTTGCTTCTTTCCCTTCAGTGCTGGAGGAGGTACTGGTTTCCATTGAAAATGAGCTGCAGGCAGTGGAGATGCAGATTCAGGAGCTTGTGGATAAACAGCAGGAACTCATTCAAAAGAAGATGAGGGTAAAGAGTCTGATAAAGCAGTCCTCAGGAGACTTGGAGGCAGGTGGAAGCAAGGACACCGAAACATCAGCCGAGGCATGGAACAAAAAAGGTTTGCGGAGTCAAATTCAAGTATTCTAATGCAGAAGTAAACTAATTCAGTAGGGGAGAAATGCTTTCATATGGAGTTTTGTTTGGATGATTATATCATCCTATTTCATTTTGTTCAGCTGGGTGACCTGCCATCTTAATTACACAGGGTGATGTTTGTGCTTAACTCCCTGGATGTTCCTAAATACTTATCTGAGTTCTTCTGGGCAGAATTATCCCAAGAATGGCCTGTTATAACTACCTTTATTCTTTTCTTGTTGCAAAGTCACAACTTGATTTGATTTGCTATAAGAATCCCAGAGTAAATCTGGATATATTGCAATACTTGTATTCCCTGTTTATTTATGTTCTAAAAATAATAACTCTGGATCTTTTTGGGATTTGATAATAACAGTCTCGCACTCTCAAAGTTACTTCTTGCTGTCTTTGTGTTTCTTCTTGCTTGAGTGGGTAGGACATCAGTTGTGTTTGCCATGGGTTATGTAGCCTCGCCGTCTTACTAAGTTATGCAAATAAGATGCATGTTGACTGCCAAAAGTAACATCAAATGCATTTGTATGGTAGAGTTAGTCCAAATGGCAAGTGCCCCATGGTGGTGTGAGGGCCTCTGTTCTTTTGGAAGTGCTGTCTTTCAAGTTAAACGTTAACTGAAGTCCTGGATAGCTGGTGGGTCTTGACCATGTTATGCCTAGCCAAATTCAGTTCAGATCTTTTTGTTATTCCCCCTCTCCCCTTTTAGTTCACTTGCAATTTGGAAATGCATTGTTGGTTTCTGTCTGTATCTATTGTATATGTTCTCTTTCCTGGCTTTTTTTAAAAATTAAATTAATTATGTAGTCTAATCCATATTTCTCTGTATTTGAGAAAAGCGTTATGCATATGTAAGAACACTGATACAATTGCAAATTGATGCTATTGGACAAATTGATTTGTTTTGGGTGACTTTGTGCCTGATTCTCTCCTCCTATGCTTTGAAAACTAGTTTCTTTGCAATCAGATGCTGTGTACATGTTGAATAAGAACGGTAGCTAAATTTGGTCCCAGTACTGAAGTCAGTGGGAGGCTTTTCTTGGGTTTAGAGAGCCTTGGATCTTGGCTGTGATCTCTGGAAATTAGGAAGCAATGTCACTTCAAATCGCAAAGTTAATTGTTGCATTGCATGCAGTGTACCCTGGAGTTACCACAGTTCTTCTGAATTTTAATAATATGAAAATGGTTAATATACTTCCTTATGCATGTGAAATTTTAAGTTTTTACAGTATTATCACTTTAAATGATGCAGTCTTTAGCTCTTTATTGAAGAAAAGAAAAAACTATTACAAGCATGTTGGGGTGATTATTTTGGGGAACCCCCCCCCCCCCCCCCCTTTTTTTTTTTTTAATAAATGCTTAATATCTCTGGAATATGTGGGGAAAATGGTAGCCGTGCCTTCGTTATATTATTTGTAATAATTGCGTTTGTATGAAGAAAGCATTTGGATAACTTAGTAGTGAGACTGTTGTAGGGTTCAGTGTCTAGTTTTATTTATTTTCAGGGTGGGCTTCTCCTTTCCATTTAATTTTGGACTAGTCAGTTAACTTCATCATTAGCACTTTGAAGCTCTTCATCTGCTTATGAGTTTCTAGCTGTAGTTCACATTTATGTGTGATGAGAGCCTTTGGTCTGGAGGTGGATTGTGTTTATATTTCATAAGGTTTTGAAAGGTCCACCTTAGAAATTAGTTTATACAGACTCAGGTTGTGTGTAGCGCTTTTTGTGCCATTTTTGAATCTTTGAGCACTTTACCAGATCTAAAATTGTATTGCTTCCACATTTAGTTATGGTATATGTAAATTGCCCTTCCTTCTTGTATTTTAACAGACTCTGTTATGAAATGTGTTTGTTTTTTTTTTCATTAACAGATTTTCCATGGTATGAGAAGATAAAAACTGCACTACAGAGCAAGTTTAAACTCCAGAAGTTTAGGTCCTTGCAACTTGAAACAGTAAATGCTGCAATGGCAGGAAAGGATATATTTCTTGTCATGCCTACAGGTGGTGGAAAGAGCCTTTGCTATCAGTTACCAGCTGTCTGTTCTGATGGTATGTAAGGGAAGAAAAGGTCATACATAAGCAGTTGGATTTATTTTCTCCCTGTTATAGCTATTTGGAGAATGAACATTGTATTAGTGTCTAATATCATGGTATGAGATCAAAAGAGCAAAGATAGGAGAGGAAGATTTACTAGAAATACTTGCTTTGCTCTCTTACTTTATTTTCTCTGAAGGAGCAATAGCAGCTTTAAAATAGATGTGCCTTTTAGATGCAGTTTAGATTTAAATAATTTATCTAGTTCCTCTCAATATGTTATGTTATTAAACACTAAAAGAACTTTTAAAAAGTTTGTCACTGTTTTTTTTCCTTTCTTTCTCTTTTAATTCAATATTGAGACTATAAATTATTAAAGTATGCATATCTGTTATTTGTCTGTACCACTCTAAAATTTTAGCTTTAGATTATTTGGGACTTTGTGTATTAATTTTTTAAAATAAGTATACAGTTCTAGTTTTTAAGCTTTTTTTTTTTTAAACATCAAATTGCATGGAGGCTTACTTATTTACAAAGACTTAACAATACCTAGCATTGCTCAGTTGTGTGGTAAATTAGCACCTTGCAACACAGATGTGAATCCAGCTTCCTTTGTTTTGTATATTCGTTCTTAAGTTTTTATACTCTGCTTGTTGCAGTTGTTTGTGGTCTAGATTCTAAGAGAAGGTGCATGTCACAGGCAGTTGATCAGAAGCATCCCAGTGTGACCTAGCACTGATTTATCAGCTGTCTAGGAGAGGAATCTGCTACTATGTATGAAGCTTAAGCTCATGTTTGGCAGTTCCTTCAGAACAAAGCTGTGTAGCTGATGTGTTAATAAAAAGTATTAGAGCAGATATTTGTGACATCTGAACCGTTCACTTTGCACAATGATTGATGGTTACAGGTTTCACACTTGTGATATGTCCTTTGATATCACTTATGGAAGATCAGCTGATGGTTTTGGAACAGCTTGGTATTTCTGCAACTTTATTAAATGCCTCAAGCAGTAAGGTATGTTTAACTGCCAAGTATTTGTGGTTTTTGCTGTGTATGTGCTGGTATCTTTCCTCTGTGTATGTTATTTACGAATACTGAATGAATGGCACAGTTTTATTAGCTAATGCCGTTCTATCGACAGTATCTTGCCAGCTATGAACGTGAATAAGTATCTTGAGTTCTTGTTTTAATGACAAGAACACATGTAAACCAACACATTTCATGGAATAAATAGATTTCATGGGGCTATTTAGAGGATCTGAAGTACCTTTGGCTGGTGTGTGTTGTAGATTTTTACGTGGTTTCTAGACTTAAAAGAAGATTAGAGTAGGTGGTTGTCCGCTATTAACATGTTGAGCAGTGCAGGCTTTTACATACAATTATTTATCTTACTTTACAATGGTAAGATGTTTGATCCAGAGGCCAAGAAGCAATTTATTTCCCAGGCTGTTACTAGTCAGTTGCTTTTTACAGTGAAATATATTTTCCTGACTACCAGGAAGCTGTGGTCATTAACTTGCACATGACACTGGGTTTGGTAGGTTAGTGGCTTGATGCAATGAGCCAAACTTGGAGCCTGCTTTGAGGTAGAGCTCTTTGAAAACTTAATAATAAAGACTACAATTGTGTGTAAGAAATTATTTTACAGTTGTAGTACCACAGGCATGCTGGGTATGTTTATTGGGAAAATACTGATACCACATGATGAAGCAAAGACAAATATTCAACAACTTGCTTTTCAAAGTTCTGTGACAGATTTTCCAAGTATTAAGGTTAACATTTTATATGCAATGATCTTCTGTAAGGGCTTATAGCAGTGGTAAATACTATGTAACAGTTTATCAGTCTCTGTTAATTACCCCTTATGTACTGTTAATAACCTTTTAAGAATCTTAGCACTAAGCAACTTCAGTGTGTTGTCCTAGTTTGTTAGCCCCTGATCTATCTTTTTGTTTTGAACAGGAACATGTGAAGTGGGTTCATACCGAAATGCTAGACAGAAATTCCCAACTGAAGCTCATTTATGTGACCCCAGAGAAGATTGCAAAAAGCAAGATGTTCATGTCAAAGCTAGAGAAAGCTTATCAAGCAGGCTGTCTTGCTCGCATTGCTGTAGATGAGGTCCATTGCTGTAGTCAATGGGGCCATGACTTCAGGCCTGGTATGCTCATTAGAAATCCAGTTTGCAGTGTTACTCAGTCATCAATAAATAATGAGTTAGGCCTGAAATAAAGCCAGGTGCTTTCTTCATATGTTAAGTAAATACTTTGTCTATGTCAAGGACCTGTGTCAGCTCAAGGACTTTAAATTTAATTCAGAAATTACTATACCCTTGTCTGGGAGCTAAATTCATGCAAATGGGGGCAATTTCAATGTAGATTTTGCTGTCAGTATTCTGAAAAACTCCTAAATCAATTTACTTCAATTAAAAGGTTTTGGCTGCCATCTTTAATATGGGCAACGCAGTCATCTTGAATCTACTGCTACATGAAAAAGTGTCATTCTCTACACCACTCCCTAATGCTCTGGGTGACAGAGGTAGGGAGATAGAGCATTTTGTAAATTCATGGGATATATTTTAATAGCTTCTAAAGCTAGTTGAAACAAATGCTCTTGACTTGCAGGGAAAGAAATTGTGCTTGCTTCCTATCTTGTCTGTTGTATACTTGAAGACTGTTACTGGTTACTGTTTCTTTGCTTTTGAAAGAAAACCTGATTTGAAGCAATAGTAACTGTAAAGTCAACCTTTACAGTTTTGTTAAAAAGTGGTGTTAAAAAGTGGTGTCTGCACAAAGAGCCATGCTAGTTAAACGGGCAGTGTGGAATTTGTATGTGTACCTCTGGCTGCATTTCTGTTCTAAGGCAGCAAGTGATTGTCAGCACTGAGCCTTTAAAATCTTCCCTTAGTACAGTCTGGTCTGTGTATCCAAATTCCACATTGCTTGTTTATTAGCAAAGCTGCGTTTACTGAAAAACTGTTTGTAAAAACAGACCTGCAAAATAACCTGAATGTTGGTTCATGTGATGCCGCTTATATTTTTCTAACTTTTTAAGAAGTTGTACTTCAATATGTTTTGCCTTCTGAATTGTGGCTGCTTCTGTAAAATTCAGTTAGAAGAGAAAACATCTAATTTGATAAGTGCAACCTTCTTATTACTTTGTTTGGATGTATAAATTAGTTCTGTGGTAAATTGATCAGTAATAATATTTATTGCAGTATTACCCCATTGAATGCTGTCTACATGAATATCTTTTTAAATTTTGGATCTATGGTGTGAGAAATTTTTTCTTTCTCCTTTTTGTTTTCTTGCTTAGACTACAAGTCTCTTGGTATCTTGAAAAGACAGTTTCCCAATGCTCCCTTGATTGGATTGACAGCAACTGCTACAAATCATGTTTTAAAGGATGCTCAGAAAATTTTGCACGTTCAGAAGTGCATTACCTTTACTGCTTCTTTCAACCGGCCCAATCTTTACTATGAGGTATGTCTTTGACTTCATCACAGTCATGTTATCTTCTGTAAGTTACAGTGATGAATTTTAGAAGATTTTCAATTATATGTTTTAATTATAAATAGCTTTTCAACTGAATTATGCTGTTCTTTCATGACTTCGTTTTGCTGAACTTGCTATTATCTGCAGAGGAAGTTGGGCTGCTCTGTCTTTGTGAGCAAGGCTTTGCATCTAGGACTATGTACAGGGAAGAGGTAGGTAGCAGGCTCAGACCTCTATGACCTGTTGGAAAATATGTCATGTGATTACAAAAAAGTTGTGAATTATTGTATTGTACTGTATTTTCAGTTTTGTCCCAGGTTCTTTTACTGTTCTTCATGGGAGAACTTGTGATTTTGGGTTTATTTTTCCTATGGATTTCTGATATGTAATCTGACTGTAGACAAAGGGAATATAGTAATTTCGGTTAAATGGCAGATTAATTGTGTTTATTGTACTGGAAGAAGTAGAATAATAGTATTGTTCGGCAGACTGTGTACCCACTTGAACTCTCTGGCATGTGTATATTATCTTTTTGAGGTTCGGCATAAGCCTTCAAATAATGAAGATTTCATTGAGGACATAGTGAAGATCATTAATGGAAGATACAAAGGACTTTCAGGTAAAAAGTGTAAAAATAAAAAAAAAAAAGGCATGTTCTTTTTTATAATCTAACCATTACAGGGAAGTTTTCAAGTGATCCTGAAATGTGTAGAGGAATTCTGCCTTCACCATACATTAAGCATCCAGCGTTAAAAGAAATGAAATTCAATAAGATCCGTATCTTGAATAATTACTCTTTTCATTCATTCGTGTTTAAATGTCCTTCTGAAGTATTGAAAGACAATATTGATGTATATAAAACAAAGTGTACATAGATAAGAATAATAGCAGTTTTTAAGATTGTGAAAACAAGGCTCAAAATAGATTATCTGTATGTTCTTAAATCACATGTATGGCATTTAGTATCCATGTGTCAGGATGGTTAACTATCTTTAACACTACTTTTTCATATTTGATCATAAGATTTTTGTATTATTCAGTGCCCAGAATGGCTGTGTGGTGGGGTGAATTGTGCTTTTCTGCTGAAAGCAGAACTGTAAAAGTTGGACTTTCTGTAGTCAACGAATTATGTAGTGCAAATAAAGAGGAAAGGCATATTACAAAGGCAACAGAACCCAATTTTCCAGAGCAGCAGCCTGTATCTGTCTCTGCTGTGGAACTGTGTGGCTGTGATGAGCAGCTTGCTGAGTACAAACTGTGCTAAGATGATCACAAATACATGGCTTTGTGTGTAATCCTTGACTTAGCCCAGACTGACTAATGACAAAAAGCAGATTTATCTGAAACCTCAGGTGACTTGTCATAGATGTCATAAGGAACAGCACTCCTTTACAGAAGTATTAATAACCATTGTCCTACTTGAATATTAATAGAATACTTCCATGGTTATGTGGATTTGCACCCATATCTTCTCTTTAGCCTACAAGTCAAAGCTGATAATTTAAGTTCCATTCATGGCTACCAATACTGCAGGCTGAATAGGGAGAAAGATCATTTACTGGTTTCTATTTATTTATTTTTAAGTTCATAAAATTTTCAAAGTTGTCTTTAAGAATTGGGGACTGTCTGGGTTTTTTTTAAGACATTATAATAAGTTGTCTTTCACTTTTGTGCAGGAATTGTTTACTGTTTTTCTCAGAAGGATTCTGAGCAAGTTACTGTGAGTTTGCAGAAACTGGGAATTAAGGCGGGGACTTACCATGCAAACATGGATGCTAAATATAAGACCAAAGTTCATAAAGGATGGGCAGCAAATCAAATCCAGGTTACGTAGATACTTTTCATAGACTTATGTCTTGCTTAAACACATTGTGTTTTGGTACCTTGATGGTTTCTTAATCTTGTTTCAGGTTGTAGTGGCGACTGTTGCTTTTGGCATGGGAATTGATAAACCTGATGTAAGGTTTGTAATTCATCATTCTATGAGCAAATCCATGGAGAACTACTACCAAGAGAGTGGACGTGCAGGTATTGTAGGAAAAGGCTTTTGCAAAGTAGCCATTTACATCCCTTTAAACCCCTTAAAATTGTACTTTGATTTTAGCCATTTGTGCAAAACATCTTGTCTTTAAGACAGATTCCAAAGTTTATAATGCCACTCTATCTCTGTAAAGAGGCTTTGAAGCAAATATAAACTACATTCATGATCTCAGGCTTCTCTGCTGTTGTGTAGCAAAGAATAACTATCTAGCCCTTTACTCAGCATTTTTTTAATTACTTGATTTTTGTGACATCCATGGCTTACCAGAATAATGTCATAACATGACATTGACTGATCAAATGTATGTTACAGAAAGGATTATTTTTTTCTTTGCATAGCAACTGGGGTGCATGATTTACTCAGATTGTCTCTAGATGATGTCTTATCTCTGTATGAATTTCAGTGGACACAGAAATAGAAGTAAGATGGGGAGTCTGGAGCAGCGAATTTCAAGGATCAGTCAATGTATAGCAGCACTAAATACCTGTTACAGCTAAAAAAAGGTTGTGTGTTGTTTTGCTTTGGTTTGGTTTTTTCATCTTGTTCGTTACTACTTTTTCAAAGATGGAGGAAAGCTTTTTAAGGACCCTGAGGGGCAACTGGTTCAGATTTTAACTATGCTTATATGATAGAACTGGGCCATAATTCTGGCCTAAGAAATACAGCAGTCATCAAAGTTTGTAGGAGTTTACATCTGCGTATGCTAGAGACAAGGACTGTATAGGTGCTGAAATAGTTGTTTTGCAACGTTTATCAACTTGAGGTGATTAGAGCACACTTTTGTGTGTTTCTTTTTCTTAATTTAAATGAGATTCTTCGGGGGTAGGGGGGGATTAATTAAGCACTGCCTGAACACACTACTTAGTTTATGAAACCTTTCTTCTTCTCCTTGACTGTCATGCAAGTGAAGTAGTTCCTTTCTGTTATATGTTCAACTTTTTAAAAGTTTAGGTTTTTTAGACCTTTTCCACTCTCTGAGTTTTGTAAACAGCAGGAGGGCACCCATCAGCACATCATTGGGAGGAGTGAGCAACAGGAAGGAAGACACAGGTGGTTTTAAATGGAATATTTGTTAAATCATACCTAATTGTCTCTTTACTTACTATCATTAATACCTAAGAAGGTATTTGAAGCTCACACTGTCTTTTAATCAAATAAGAATTAGGCTTCAAGATGTATTTGGCTAGGATTTTCCAAGAGGTGTTAGGGTGAGAAAATGGTGATTTCATTAACTTTCTGTATGACATTAATATTTAACTTAGTTGATGGAGAGTAAAAATTTTCATTGTGTAGTATTTTCAGTTTGCTTGATTATGTAGTTTTAGAATACAGTTCTAAATCTATTTTATTTCTAGTCTGTTTCATGCTATGTTCTATTGGCTAATATGTTATGCTTGATATTGTCTTTCAGTCACTATATAGGGGCTGCAGAAGTCCAAGCAGATAAGAGTGGAATTTGTACCAGAAAATGCTATATCAAAGTAAATTTCTTCTAAAGTTTAAAATCTAGATTTTTTGTTTGTTTTAATGCATTGCAGGTAGAGATGACCAAAAAGCTGACTGCATTTTGTATTACGGTTTTGGAGATATATTCAGAATCAGCTCAATGGTAGTGATGGAAAATGTAGGGCAAGAGAAGCTGTATGATATGGTGTCCTACTGCCAGAATATGAACAAGTAAGTTACTGTGGTGGCTTGGTTGCTTAGTTTTTAAATAGTTAGGCTACTTCTGTTATTTTTTTTTAAAGGGTACTTTAAAAAAAAAAGCACTAAACAAAACTCCCCACAAAACCAACAACAAAACAAAAAAACCCCACCACACTATAGAAACACTACCATTGTAACAGAGTCTTGAGTCTGGAGTTTGTGGTTTGGCTGCTCAGTATGCGTACTCTTGCATATAACTGAATGTTGGTGTGTTGCTTGCCAGCTTCAGGATAAAGTTCTGGAAGCAGTTACATTGAGATAAAATATCTGTCAACAGAACAGTGTTTGGATTTCAAATCCCGTTCAGAGCAAATACTGGAATGCTTTGGTTTTTACTCTAAGGCACCAGTGTTTCATGGCCATACAGGAATCTGCATGTGCTTAATGCTTCATCTGCTGCACTGAGCTGTATTGAATGCTTCATGCAAAACACTTGTATCTCTGTTATGGACAACTCGTGCATTCAGTATAGCCTTTGTTGGCCTCGGTCTAAGAATTAGTTCATATTCTTATGATTTTTCATTCTGTCGGAATTGCAGATTATACTTACTTTTCTGCTTTAACCACACTTTTCCTACAGCAGTGTTTAGTATTGCTGAAAGCTACTAGTTACTTGTATTAGTGTAACTGACAGGGAAACTGTGTTGCAGTGTTTGTTTTCTGATTTTTTTATTTTTTTTTTTTTTTTTCTTCCCCTGAGATCATTCTTCATGCTTGTTTGGAGGTATAAGGTGACCCAGGGGACCTTCTTTTTGCCACTTTCATGATTTATGACACAGGTGTATACATTTACGTTCTATAGTACTTCTTTGCTCTCTGTTCTTTCAGGTGTCGCCGGGTCCTCATAGCCCATCATTTTGATGAAGTATGGGATTCTGAAAACTGCAACAGAATGTGTGATAACTGCTGTAGAGAGAACTGTAAGTAAATTTTTTTTATAACCAAGGACAGGGAACATGGAGAAGGTTGGCTTAAAGAAATACCTAGTTTAGACAAACTGTGAGCAACTTCTTTACAGTGTGCTCATAATACTGCCTCTTTCCAAGGCTCAGCATTTGTTATGAACATCAGTTTTTGGCGGTTTAGTGTTGCCAAATTCAGGGTGTTTAGCAGGATACTTCCTGGTTTGGCTTTTTGCCTGAGGCCAAACACTTTGGTATCTTTCAGGCTCAGCCATTCACCTCTTCCCAAACGTGAAGCTGGGGCAAGGGGGAGATTGGCTTACCTGTTTTAAAAAGATTCTGGTATGTGTTGGGCTTTGTTTCAGGATTTTTTTTTTATGTGGGGTGTGTGAAAGCTTTAATTTGAGAAGGAGCCTCCTCTTCTTTGCACGCCGAACTGTTCACACTTAGGCTCTGAGAAGGCACAGTTTGCACATCTCCTTTTACAACTTGCCTGGTAAAATCTCTGAGGATTTCAGTGCTGCGTGCTCGTGAGACCCACCTGTGTCTTTGAATAACAGGTGAATGCTTGTAATATGTGGAAAATGCCATGTCCTCATATCTGTTGCAAAGCATTTATATAATGTAGTGATCAGTACTTGAAAAACTTAGGAACAACTCTGTATTCAAAGATGTTCTCATAACTAGGCTTTATTTCCCTGTATGTTTTTTTGGGAGTAAAGTAGGCAAAACAAAGATATTTAACCTCTTTACCTCTTTTTTTTTTTTTTTTTTTTTTTTTTTTTTTTTTTTTTCTTTATACGGTTAGTTATATCTATATGATGAAACTGTTTTGCAAAATCATGGAAGCAACAATGTCCTGTTATCTTCTAGCTGGAAATGGGGCTTAGTTGAAATTTATACTGGGATCAGAGGTTGAGAAGAGTATGGAGTGTGCTTGTACACAAAGCTTACAGGAGCCATGTGATGAAGTATCGTTGAAATATATCTTGTTTACAGCTGGTTTACCCCCAGGGCCTTTTGATATATAAGCAAGGTCTGAGGAAACCTAGCAGTAGTACTAGTTTTTCAGTACTTAATTCTTTGTGTTGGAGGAGGCAGTTGGAGTGATTCTATGTAATGATCTGATCATGCGGTAGAAGCATGATCATTATCTACTACATGGATGTGTTAGTGTTTGGAATAATTAGTCACGATGAATCTAATTGTATAATGAAATTAATACTTTTTTCTGTCTTATTTTCTGTGTCTTGAGAGAAGAAATGTCTCACAGTTTTCAATTCATCTTCACTCTCTATTCTTTCCATAATAAATATTATGGGTGAGGAAGAGGAATCCATCTGCAGACTAACATCGTAGCTTCCTTAGAAATTTTATGCTTTGTAAATGCTTCTTTGAAATAATTAGTGTGGTTTGTAATGTTAAACACATGTGTAAATGTTTTACACATGTGTAAAAATGTTTGCAGGATTGGAGTTCTAATAATGAAGTCAAAAGATAAATAAAAGTTTGAGTACAAATATATCCTACTTTGACAGAGGGAAAGTTGCAGCTTTATTTGTTATACATTTATATATTTATAGATATACATATAAAAGTGCATACATGTGTATATACCTAATATATATATGGATACTATATAAATAACAACAAATAACTATATTATAATAATATATTTAAATATTACTTCACTTCTATTTGTAGCATGTGAGAAAATGGATATAACAGGATACTGCAGGGATCTAATCAAGATACTTGAGCAAGCGGAAAACATGAGTGAGAAACTCACCCCACTGAAATTAATTGATGCGTGGTCTGGGAAAGGTGTGTCAAAACTCAGAGTGGCTGAAGTTATTCCACCAAAGCACCCTCGAGAGGAACTGGAGAGAATTATTGCCCATTTACTGCTGCAGCAGTATCTGAAGTATGTAAGATGACTGCTTCCTTTTTTTGACATCTAGTAGTCATTTTTCTTTACTTTTGTGTTAATTTTGTATATTAATGGATATATTCTGTAGTCTCATTTTTAGCCTTTATTTAAGATGCATTTAATGTATTTAAAACCTCTTTTGAGGTTTACTATATTTCTACTTCAAAATGTTAAAATCAGTGTTGGAGGAACATTTGAAGTGCTGCATCTCTTGCAGTTTTAAAAAACTGAAATCTTCTGTATTCAGGTTGAACCTTTAAATCTGCAGCAGGTTTTGTTTTGGAGAAGTCTGCTGCTTATGTGGAGTCTCACTTACATTCCATGCGGAGTCTCATTTACATTCCATGGCTAAGCAAAGCAAATGGGGTTGCCCAGATGAAGTCTTAAGTCAGGACAGGCTGGCTAATGTGGCAAGTGGTACTCAGAAATTTTAAGAAAGCGTAGTGAAAATAACAACCGTGCTTCTCTTGTAACCTGGCTGGCTGTGTGGTATGTGGTTTGTCTTTTCATATAGTTTTAGAAGTTCCAAGAATACGTACAAATCAAATATTTAATCCCTTTATTTTTGTCTTAAATTGTTTTTAGCGTCTGTTTGTACTGCTGACTTTTTACAGTCTTAAGAGAGTGAGCAGATGACTTACATCTATTTTCCTCCATCTATTCCAACAGATTGACACGTGTGTGTGTGCGCGTGCGCATGTTTTTTTGCCAGACTCTCTCTAAATTGACTATCCACTTGAATAGATAAAGCAGAATCAAGATGCTGTTTGGAATGTCCATCAGAAGTGTTAATATGTCCCATTTTTCCTGTGCGTGGTCTAGCCTGTCTTTGTCTCCAACCTTCTCTTATAACACTGATTTAATTTATGCAGGGAAGACTTCAGCTTCACGGCATTTGCTACCATATCCTACCTGAAGATAGGACCAAAAGCAAGTCTGCTGAAAAATGAGGCACACGTCATCACTATACAAGGGATAACAAACAAGAAAGGTGTTTACAAGGTATTTATATCTGTACTGACTTGCTATATAGGTATCTTTTCCATTATAGTTTATCATAATAGTTTGGTATCTGCTCAATATATTTTTCATAGTAATGCAATCAATGGGATTTAAAGTAGATCTCATTATCCTCTCTCTTGTGTAAGAACACTGAAAAAGAAGGAAAACAATGTTAGAATTTTAATAGAATTGTTTATAACTTACAGGACAAACCATCTCAATCTTCAAATTTGAAAGGAAGCAGAGAAAATGCTCAGACTATTTCAAAGACTGTCCGAGATGCAGCAGTGAAGAATTCACAGGAACATAAACGGCCTAACTGTGGTTCTAACTTCAAAGCAAAGAAGCTTAAACTCCAGGCAGGTGGAGATGACCAACCAGTAGTTCTTGACTGAGTTTCACAGACTACCTTTAGGATCTAATTATGTTTGCTTCTCCATGGACAATGCAGTGTGTAAGTTCAGTTTGTGTTTTAGTAATAGGTTTTTTTGTGCTTTTTTTTTTATTAACACCCCCCCCCCAAAACCAGGGAAAAAGTATCTTTTAAAACCCTCAAATCTAGAAAAAGTCTAGTAGTCAAGGGAAAAATTCTTCATATCAAAATAACTAGTGCATATGTTATACAGCAATGACTACAAAATGTGAATAATTATTGTGTTGCCTTTTTAACTATTTTGGAAGTGTAGTGTATAGTAACACTATTGCAGAATCATGCAGGCTGGAAGGGACTTCCGGAGATCATCTAGTCCAGCCTCCTGCTCAAAGCAGGTCCAGTTGGAACAGGGTGCTCAGGGCTAGGTCCAGTTAATTTTTGACCGTCCCCAAGGATGGAGATTCCACAACCCCTCTCAGCACCTGTTCCAGCATTTGACCACCTGCATGACCAAAAAAAAAAGAAAAAAGGATCTTTCGTAGAGCTAATTGTTATCTCCTGTGTTGCAACTTGTCTGTTGCCTCTTGTTCTATCACTGTGTTCTTCTGAGAAGAGTCTGGCCCCATTGCTGCTATGCTCTTCCGCTGGGTAGTTGAAGACAACAGCAAGATCACAACACTCACTCCACCTCCCTGTCTGTCATCTTTTTTAACCTGGAAGAAATTCAGTTCTCTGTTTTCTCCTCTCTAAGCCCCTGCTTCTCCTCTCTGAGCACCTAGGCAGCTTGGTAGCCCTCTGCTAGACTCAGCCCAGTGTACCAATGTGTTTGTCTTGCTGGGAAAGGCAAAACTTAATCCGGCACTCTAGCTGTAATCTCACAAGTACTGAATACGCAGAAAGAGTCATTTCCCCCAAACTGCTGTTACATTCTTGCTGATATAATCTAGTGTGCAGTTGTTTTCTATGCTGCAGAGGCACACTGCTGATGCATGTTCAGCTGGTTAGCTACTGGGAACCTGGGTCCTGTTCTGCAAAGCTACTTTCTAACCAGTCTGGCTCCAGGCTGTGCTGTTGCATGGCATTACTGCATCCCAGGCTCAGGGCTTTGCTGTTGCCTTTACCTTAGATGTCCTTGTCAGCCCATGTGTCCAGCCTGTCTATGTCCCTCAGAATAGCAGCCCAGCTTGCCAGTGCACTGACAGCTCTCCCAACCTTGGTATTGTCTGCAGACTGGCTGGAGCACGCTTAATCCCTGTATCCAGATTGTTAGTGAAGACCCTAAATTATATTGGCCCCAGTATTGATCTGTGAGCGTTGCTGCTAGTAAATGGCCACCAGTTGGACTTCATACTGCAGATCCCAATTCTTTGAACCAGGTGGTCCAGACAACTTTCCACCTATCTTGTACATTTATCCAGTCTATATCTCACTGATGTTTTTAGCTGTGAGGAAATTTATAGGTCATATCAAAAGCCTTGCTAAAGTCAAGGTATACAACATCCATTGCTACCCCCTTATTCACACAGGCAGTTCTCTCAGTCAGCCTGGTTGATCAGGTATGCTTTGCTTCTGGTAGATCTATGTGGCTGTTCCTAATCACCTCCATGTGTCTGAAAATGTTTTCTGGGAATATTTGCTCCTTAAGTTTTGTGGGGGCTGAGGTGAAGCTGACTGGCATGTACCTCCTTAGACCCTCCTTTTTGCAGATGGGCAAGATACTTGCCTTTTCCCAGTCATCAGGAACTTCCCCCAGTCTCCAAGTCCTTTCAGAAGAGACAGTCTTGCACTGACCCGAGCTAGCTTCCTCAGTGCCCCTCAGTGCAGCCCATCCACTCCTGTGGATCTGTGTATGGCCAGTTAGGCTTAAGTGATCTGTAACTCCACCTTCCTCTACTGCTTTACTCCCACAGACTGTTAGTAGGCTTGGGGACCTGGGACATCTGAGGGCAAACCTTACCAGTGAAAATGAGGCAAAAAATGAGTTGAGTACCTCAGTTTTTGTTATGTCCTGTGTCACTAGCTCCTCTACCCCTGTGACCAGTGGGACCATACTTCCCTTACCTTTCCTTTTGCTGCTCAGGTACTTACAGAGCTGCTCTTACTGCTTTTTGCATCCTTTGCTAGTTCTGCCTCCAGCTGAGCTCTTGCATTTCTAACTCCCTCCCTGCATGCTCAGGCAATATCTCTTTGTTCTGGCTATCTTGTACCTTCTGCCTTCTTTTTGTGTTTGAGCTAGCTGAGTTCTTCTCTGTTCACCTGTGCTGACCTTCTGCCAGCCTTGCTCTACCACATAGGAGGTTGTGTTTTGGAAATCAAGCAGCTCTTCTTGAGCCCATTTGCCTTCCAGGACAGTCTTCCAAGGGTTCTGACAAGTAGATCCCTGAACAAGCTGAAATCTGCTCTCCTGGGGTCCAGGGTAGTGGTTCTGCTGTGTCTTCCTCACTTCTCTGTTGAGTTTAAAATCCTGAAATCACTTGGTCACTGAGCAACATCTGGGATCTGGGAACCCCATAAGAAACAAACTTGTCATTGCTAACCTGACTTGGAGACACTGAGGGCCTCTGTCCCCCACAGGGGGGACTCTCATCTTCCTTTTCTTTACTCTGTCAACACTTGGCTTGGGTTTAGCTGGCATTGATGCATCATGGTGGAGCTGTCATCCTCGTCTTTCTCAGGGCAGTATACCTGCAACGGCAGAGCTGCAGGCGGAAAAGGAGCCTTTTTGTCTTGCTGGAAGCAAGAGGTTTCCAGCTTTCCCTCCTGTGGGAGTCTCCATCCATGGCTCCTGCAGGAGTAGTCTCAAGGTTTTCCCTCCTTCGCAGCATAGGACTTGGGTGGTCCTTAGCTCTGCAGTCTCTGTGAAAATCCTATCACCTCCTGTTCCTCCTCCTGGCTGCTACACAGGCTGCCCACCTCCTCCTGCAGCTCCTTCACCCAGGAACTCAGCCCTGCAACCAGGGCTCTGCTCTCGCCAGCCCCAGGGAGAGACTTCGGACATCCGGAGAGCCGGGCTGCAGCAGCGCCCTTCCTCTGGAGCTGTGTGTGGGTCAGAGCCTCTGCTGTGCCAGGGGCGGTTGTTCCAGCCCAGGTGGACATCGCCATCACTGCCATTTTGAGCAGAGACATGTGGCCCATTTCTGCAATGCTTACACCTACTACAGCAGATTTGGGTACCTGAGCGTACTTTAGAGAAGAATTTCAACAGGGCATTGTTACAACATTGCACTACTTCTGATGTGTGGAGATTTTTACGAAATATTGTATGTATTCATGCCTTTAAAATATGTCTGTTGGTCTTAGAACTGGATTTCTCTGGCTTGTTATTAAAATAGAAAATTACCACTTCTGTACTTTTCAGAAGTACCTAAACTTCTATTTAAAAACAAGACAACTTTGCTTGATCTTGGCTCTTCCCTTTTGTAAAGTTACACTTTAATTGGGAAATATAGAGGAAAAAAAAAGCCACTCAGTAAATACTTCTCTCTCCTTTTTTCCCGCTCCTTCCCCTGTTGAATTGGCTTATATTCCAGCTACAGATCTGTATTCTAATTAGAAGGGAATCCAGTTGTATTAAGATATACTCTTCTGCTCTACATGTGCTAGAACATGGCTGCGTTGAGAATTGCATACTTTAAGCCCTAAATGTGGGCTACATTAAACTTAATTTTGGCAGGTTTCTGAATTCTAGTCTCTTAACTTTGCTCATCCACCTATCCATTTGCTTATGTTCCTGTCATTTGTGGAAATGGAAAGGAGAAAGCAGCCACGGGAGACTGTCACTTCTTGCCTGTGGCTTGAAGTAGCGCGTCTCCACCGTTTTAAAGAGCGGCCTGTCTCTCTTGCCTCACCTATGACTCCTTTCACATTCATGTCTTGGTTCTGTCAAGGCAAGAGCGAGCCAGCGCTCGCTGCTGCAGATCTTCTTACGTTACCTCGTCCTGCAATGCCGAGCGGCTGACAGCAATTCAGTACCCGTCTGGGTGAACACACTAATAGTAGGGAGGAGAAAGATGCTAAAGATCACTCAGGATTACAAAGTAAGAGTAGAAGAGAAGACAGAAGTTGTTTTTAAGATGTTTCACAACAATTTGATAATTCAGAAATTATGGTAGAATTTTGAGGTTTGGAATGAGATTGAAACTGATACTTTTTCTTTTTTTTTTTTTTTTTTGCTAGAAAGGCAGAAAAATTATATTCCAAGTTGAACACTGTTAGGACTGAGCTTGAACACGGGAAGACCTTAGTGTCCTAGGTGCAAAGGGATGGAGGATAAAGAGAATGCTTGAGCCTTACCTTGACAAGTTTGGAAAAACAGGAGCTGCTACTGCAACCCCAGCACTGGGTAACCAGCACGGTCTTTTGCTGCTGCCGAGAACTTGGTGCTTTTGGTTCCGCTGGTGTTTTGCCAGTGGTGGGAGGACAAATAGCTGTGCAGAAGGAAAAGGCCTGGGGGGCAGCTCTGTCCACGCTTCTGGTTCCTGAGCAGCAACAGCTGCTGGGCTTTGGCTTTGTTTACGCTTAACCTCAGACATGCAGATGGCATGGTTATGCTATTTATTAAAAAGAATCTTTGAACCACATGAAAGTTACAACTTTCCTGGTCCTTTCCTTGCCCCTCAGGGTTCTGGGTTTCCCCTCTTATGTCTTCTAAACCAGAAGATGATATATATTTGGGCCCAAATTCCAGGACTGTAAAATGCTGTTGGGATAAATCCAGTAACCAGGAAACTACCCTTACCCACTCCTTTGAGACTGATCTCAACCATGCAACCTCCCTTCTCACGTGCACTTCAGGAAGTTGTGAGAACACTATTGCAGTCTTAATACCGACATTTGACTAAGTCTATGAAAGGAAAAGCTTCACAATAATGGAAGGTGCGTTTTCATACAGTAAGTGTGCCTGAGGAGAGCGATCCTCTTTTCCAAACAAGGTGCGAACCATGCGGCTTAGTGCTGTTCCGCCTTCAGGCAACACAGGACAGCCCAGGTGGGGAGGGGCCTTGGAAGATCTGGCCCAGCCTCTGGCGGGAAAGGGAGCCTAGGCCAGACCAGCAGCACCCGCTCCAGCTGCGTCCTGAAAGCCTCCTGTGAGGAGGACTTTACCACTGCCCTGCAGAGGTTGTACCAGTTTGTTCTCGCTGTAAAAAACATTATTTATGTTGAAATAAACCTGAAGGAGTGCTTCAGGAGCTCAGAACAGCTGATGTTTTTCAGTGCAGGCAAACGTCAGGGTACATTAAAAGCGTCAGTGCTTTTGCAGGGGCAGGCTTAGAGTAAGCTTTTTTCCATTCCTACTTTTCCCAGTCAAGAAGTACTTACATTAGCAACATCCTCTGAAATTGGTTATTTAAAGCGCATCAGCGGTGTTTTATTTGCTCAGTCCTACCTTCTGTGTTGTGTAATCCAGTGCCTTCTGCATTACAGTCATCGTCTTTCCCCGCTGGTACCGCAGGACACCGCATCCTGCTGGCTGAACCCGGTTTTTTTACGCTAAGGGTCACAATCTCTTTCCTCAGCAATGTCCATGGACTGAAGAAAACCTTCAGCTACAGCATTTTTCTGCCTCCCGTTTCGGCAGGGAGAACATTCAACTGTACGTGAAGCACAAACACACACCTGTTGACTTCCTCTGGCGAGCATCAGTCTTTCCAGAAACAAGCAGCTGTGCTGCCAGAGTGGTCAAGACCCAACAGCTGCTGCTGACTTCAGGCATTGCTCAGGTGCACACGAGGCCAAATGCTAGATTTGAATTTTTTTTTTTTTTTAATGATCAGTAAGGCAAGTTCAAAGTCATTATAAAGATAAGTTCCGGTAGGTTCCATTTTGGATCCCCCCATCATTCAGCTGGAACATGATTAAGAATGTGTTCTCCATCTTTATTTTTCTGTTAGAATCTTGTCAGTGACTAAAGCTTAGCATTTCACCCATCATTTAACTGAAACCTTTGCCGAAAGTAGAATTCATTCATTTAATCAAGCAGTCATTCTCTTAGTTTTTTTTTTAAGAGTGATTTTTTGGGAGCAGTCTCAATAGGTACTGCTAACTTTGCAGTCAGGGGAGTACAACAAACCGTTCCCAGTTGGACCCTAAGTAAACAGCAACTCCCAAGCGGCAACTGTAGAACAAACCCAAAAGCCAGCATGGAACAGCCTCTGTCTGTGGATGGCGCTATGGAACACAGAGGGAGTGCTAAGGAAGAGCTTAAATTGTTGGGCTTTTTCACCTAGGCACTAAATTATGCCTAGCAACTAAAAAAGAAGGAATTTGATGGAAGCAAGCCTGTACACAGACATCACTATTAAAGTGCATGCTGCATAAATACACATACAGCCAGGGAGCGAGCTACGAGTGAGGACAGCTCAAACCCCCATTTGCAACTCAGCAGTAGATACTTTGTCCCATGTTACCACAAGTCAAATTGGAGTTCAGTACCTGCAGAGACTCATTCCTGGAACCAACAGTGGAAATGTGGAAAGGGCAGAAAGTGGCCAAGTGACTCTAACAGCTGGCTATTAAGATCCCATCAGGATATGGGACTGGCACTCAAAATGGCATCAGGTACCATCTACCACCTTGTCTGGATCCAGCAGCCTGCTCTGCAGGCGCTCGCCAGGGAAGGCGCCTGTGCGTGATGTCCACCAGCGCTGTCATGTTGGCCTTCCCCTGGCACGTGCCATACCTCAGCCCTGCTGACAGTCAACGAGGAGGCACCAGTTGCAGCCCCACCACGTGACCTGAACAGCCATCTGACAAGCGGTAAAAAGGCTGCTTTCAAATGACATCTCATCCTGGCTTTCACTGTTCCAAGCTCTTGTGTTCTGTACATAGCTGAGTACAAAATACATTTAGTTTGGGAAGAAACTTACAGGGTGGTGAGGGGAATAAAAGATAAAGCATCCATCTTGCCATAGAATTGCAGACCACATTCCAGGTAGCAAGAGCTCCGAGTGCCCTGTGCCCTAAAGATGTCCCCTGTTCACCTGAGCCAGCCCAACAGAGCTGGCTGGAACAGGAGTCTTGAAACCTGGGGCAAGCGCTGGCAGGCCCGAGCAGCAGCGGGGTGCTGGTGGGAAGGCAACGCGCTGCCTGGCTGCCTTGAAAGCATTTGTCCAAGCAACTGGTTTCAGGCAGCAGGGGCTCTCCCCGCCCCAGCCAATGCTCACACCACCCAAGCCTGGAGGCAGCTTCAGGCCGCCTGGCTCGCCAGGGTGGCTGGCTTACTGGTGGGAACGAGGAACGTGCCTGGCAGTAAAGCCATGGGGAAAGCGGGCACTGGTAACTGTGGCAGGTGAATTATGCACGGTTTGGGGAAGAAGGCAGCTATGAGGCAGGCACAGGATTGAACACATTTGCTTTTAAAAAGTGAAGGCCACCTTGCATTCGAGCCAATGCGGTGCTGTCTTAGCAGCACAGCGGAGCCCGCTTTTTAAGACTCTGACAGCCCTGTTCTCATGCGCTCATCTGATCTAGACAACAACTCTTTGCCAACACTAATCCACTGGCTTTTGTTGCTGCATTTTGACATTGTTGCTAATTTTCTACAGAGATCAATTTAATGTGCCTGTCAGTATTTTGACAAGATCAACACAAAATCTTAATAAGGAATTGCATTTATCCCTCATTTCTGCTGATCCCGAGGAAACAGTTTTCTAAGACATACTACTCTGTATCACAACTTCATACAAAATGAAAATGGCGTTTTGTTCAGTCAAAATAATCTTCTATATCGATATCTGGATTCAGGAGATCTTCACCATAGGCTGAAAGATCCATTTGATTTAAAATTAAGTTTTCAAAGGTTTCTTCCAAGTCTGTTTCACCAATCAGCACAGCTCCCATCATTCGGCCGTTTTGCATCACCACTTTAACGTACTCTTGTCCCTTGGTGCATCTCAGCATCAGTTCGTGGTCTAATCCTAAGCCCTGAGCATTGTATTTGCCCAAAACCACCACCTAGCAGGAGGAAAAAGAAAAAGCACGCATAAGATCATCGCAGTGATTTTTGCCATTTCTGCTGATAACAGGTCTAAGCTTCAAAAGACGGATGTAAACAGGGAAATATTTGTTCCTAGGGAACCTCCCCCCTTCGCTGGCTTTCAAACCCACAAGAATTAAAAATCTTCACCTTGAAATACCATACACAAACCCTGGTAACGTACCAGTTACTATGCTGAGCTGCGTTGAATTTAACCATGAACAGAAATGTAATGAAATGGAATATATACAGAGATGCAAAGTAGGTCAGTTGTCATTCACCAATTAAAATTTGTCATATATTTGTAAAGATCTTTGCCCTCTTCAGTTCCAGCATTCCAAGTTCGTATGAATGGAGAAAATCTAAAGTAAGATTAATTATTATATAGAGAGAACTGTTTTGTCAGTATTAAAGCATCTGCCCAGTGCTGGCAAGTGAATGTAAGTGAGCAATACGTGCATTACTCAGTGATTTAAGACTGTTAGACTATATTTACTTTACCTTGTAATTGAAAAATTTTGTGACGTGAGCAAATAGTTCAAAGCTGAAATCCATATCAATAGGTTCCCCTAAAGTATCCGCTGCCATGCATTTTGCTGCATACCATCCCATCTGCCTAGCTTGAGTCCACAGTCTCATCTAAAACAAACAAATAAATTAAAAAGATTTTAAAAGCATAGATACACATCGCTGTGCAACGAGTGATGCGCTGTTCTTGTCAATGCATACTACATGTTTTCACTGTACTCCAAAAGGCTGAACAGCTTGGCTTTTGGCCACGTAGCCAAAATGATGTCATCAACACACCCAGGATTATCTACTTGTTCACTGGTTCCTGCTTCAATTAAACTTTCTTTTCTCCCCTCCGTGTAACAGTGCGTAATTTACTTTGTGGATTAGACTGCTGCTGAGCGCACAGCTGTACGATTGGATTTACCTGATGCCACACCGGACTAGGTTCCCACGCCGCCGTGCAGATGTCTCCAGCTGCATATATATCCGGCAGGGATGTCTGCATGTGTTTATCGACTTCAAGACCTCCATCTTCACCTACAGCAAACTGAGGTATTCACACAGATCAGCAATAAGAAAAAATAATCATTTAAAACTAAGTAATTCAACTTCAGCCATGTTAAGCAGTCACCTCATTTGTTACCTTTTTGGCACACTCCTAAAAAAATGTCAGCAAATTCTGCTTAATCACAATATTTGAAGATACAAAATTTTATGAATAAACACTACGGGAACCCAGCCAGAGGCTCTTCTGGATGCCGCATAGCAGCAGAGAAGGTGGTCATTAAGTGTCAACAATTTATGGCTCTTTGATTCATTCTGCCGTCTAATCTGACTCCACGAGAGAAGACCGATAACCACAAGAGAAACATGGTGTTCAAACCTCACAATCTCAAGACTCCTTCGCCTTCAAGGGAAGAAAACAGATCCCCCAAAGAGTGCCATTATGAAGTATTTTTCACAACTGTCCACATATAAAAGTATCACTTCCCCATATTATAATGCAACCCTGCCCCCTGCAGAATTTATCCTGGATCTTACCAAACCTAGGACCCTTCAAATAAGCAAAGCCAAGATAGGCCTACAAAAGCAGAATTTCCTAACAATCTCTGCATTCTTTTCTCACCAGGTTTAAGAACAGATCAGTGTTCCATTTTACAAGTGACCTTCATATACTCTTCAAAATGTCTCAAACTATGTATTAAAAAAGCTTAAATAGCATTACATACCGAATAAAATTATTCAACGTGAGACTGTCCAGAGTGGCCAGACCTCCATGGTAAGACACAAAACATTAAGTATTATTTCTAGAACGCAGCACAAGTTTTTAAAATATTAGTGCTACCTAGGCAGGGAAGTAACAGAGCTTGCCAAATTTCAAGTCACACTATGCACGTTACAGGGACAACTGAGTCTTACGAGTTCATTTTGTATTTTTGCCAAGGCCAGAAAATACCATCGCAAATACCCAGTTCCTAATCTAACTTTGTAATGTAGGCCTTGAAATATTTTATGGCTCGACATCAGATGTATGTTTTCATAATTTCCTTCTGCTTTTTTCAGAAGATAGCGTTTCACCTCCTGATCAGAAGGAACTGCAAAACACCAAATACCCTCATGTACTGCTTTTGGCTGGGATAGGGTTAATTTTCTTCACAGGACCTTGTATGGACCCATGTTTCGGATCTGTCGTGGAAAGAGCGTTGATAACAGAGGGATGTTTTAGCTGTTCCTGAGCAGTGCTTACAGAGCCAAGGCCTTTCTTGTTTCTCACGCAATCCTGCCAGCGAGCAGGTTGGAGGCACACAAGCAGTTGCGAGGGGACCCAGCTGGGTCAGCTGACACCCCACTGACCAAAGGGGTACCCCAAGCCATACGATGTGTGCTGCAGTAGGAGGAGGGAGGGGGCATGTTCCTCATTACAGCGTTTATCTTCCCAAGTCACCATTAGGTGTGAGAAGCCCTGCTACTTTCCTGGAGATGGCTGAGCATCTCCCTGCTGATGGGCAGTGGTGAATGAATTCCTTAATTTGCTTTGCTTGCACGTGCAGCTTTTGCTTTGCTTAAATTGCCTTCATCTCAACCCATGAGTTTTCTCAACTTTTACCCTTCCAACTTTCTCCCTCATCCCACTGGAGAAGTGAGCGAGCAGCTGTGTGGGGCTGAGCTGCCGGCCAGGGTTAAACCAGGCACCTAGCACAGAGACTGAATGATCTCAAGGCCTGAAAATTCACGTGGCAGCTATGAACTCCGTCATCATCATCCACGTTCAGATGCTGATTCAAAGTGTGACGTCCCTTGATGAATATGAGCACCTTTACAGCTCAGTTTCCTAGATGAAAATTATTGGAAGTAACTGCTTCCTTCCCAGGAAAAAATTCTAAGCTTTTTAAGAAGAATATGGTGCAGAATTAACACAAAAATTATTCTACATTTTTTGCCACGTTAACCAATTATACAAATGTTTTTCTCTTTGTATAGGTTTAAGCTGAACAGTGTATATTGTATATATACTGCATATCAGTACATATCAAGAGTAGCAATATAGTAAGCCAAGAACAGTAATGAAATTACTGTTGAATGAAATTTTATCACGTTGGGTATTTCCAATACCAACACACCTGCCTCCTTCTGAAATGCTGTACAACACTGAAAACCTTTATCAATGGATGTTTCATGTCGGAAGCATAAACCAGCTGAGAGAGCTTATTTCACCTTACTTAAAAAAACCCAAAACAGCAGCTTAAACTTCAGAAGAAATCAGTATACTTACATTATTGCCATCGAGAAATGGTTTCACATTTGGCACAACTCCAGTGGCACTGACAATGAAATTGCATCCATAAATTTTTCCATTAGTTAATTCCACATATACAGGCCATAGCACTGAAAAAGGGGAAAATTTTTCCCTGAGAATGTAACCAACAAAAGTTATTTTATTAATGATGTCTTATAATAAGACATGAAATAAAAAGAATAAAAAATAATCTTTTGATATTATTAATTGATTAGGTAGGGAAAAAAATAAAAATAAAATAGAAAACAACCCCAAACCCAGAGATTACCTGTAACATTTCTTACCTTCACTCAGGACTAGAAAAATGAGATTTTGGAGCTTAGCTCCAAGTCCTACTATTAACTTCCTCTGGAATTTTCCTAAATCAAAGCCCTCATTTGTAGGGGGAAAATACTGTGTCCTGCCACTGCTTCAGACCAATGGGATGGTCTCTGAAGTAGGCAATTGCCAAATACAATTTTACATATAAATTTGCAGGTGCAGAGGGAATGCCTCAAAAGCGAAAACAATGTCAGAGATTTTGATTTCCTAGAATCTTATACTGAAAGTAACTGGCTATTAAAATAGTATTTTAAATATTAATTTTAATTCGGTGGAATTTGTAGATAGAATTATTCATGAAACAAATGATATTTTCTTCTACTTTCTTTGAAGGATTACATCAGTTTTGACACTAAATGCTTTTTGGTTTGTTTGGTTTTTTTGCTTCTGTTTTAACTCCACTATTAATAAATGATTAATTCAGACTGTCACAAGGCGGGAATATTCTGCATACAGGATTTAGGTGACTTTGTGGAAAAAGGGTCTGAGCCATAACATTTTGCAATTCAACGGTCGCCCATAAATCAAATTCTCAACTATATGAATTGCTAGAGCTTCACTTAATTCATAGAAGGATTTTTTTTTTCCCAAATCTGTATTCGCCCTACAACAGCAAAGATCAAACATGCTTCAGCAGTGCTTTATCTTCAATGTGTTATTTCTAACCAGCAATGGCACCTACCCTCATCTGGTTCTGTATTTTTCTCTTTCTTAGGAAAAGCCAAAGAAGTCCGTTGCAGTTGTATAAATTCTTGCTGTAAGTGTATTTTCTTCACTTCACACAGTATTTCAATATGTACTTTATGAGAAAACTAAAGAAAGATTGACAAAATTGTAAACATCATGATTAGCAATAACAGTATTTTTACCTAAATTGACCTGTTACTAAACTGGAAAAGAAATCCAAAACCCCAACAGATATCCCATCCTAAAGCATGACACATTAGCTGAGTTTCCACACTTCTTCCTTTTTTGGCACAGATCTAACCACATCAAATGGCAATTTACCTGCTTTTTCAGCAGATATCTGATGCTCCTTGAAATTTCACAATTTAGATTTTTCTGGCATGCCAGAAAACACACTCAAGTTCCCCTGAGTTTACAGGAAGAGAATTCAGAACTTATCAGAACAGAAAAAAAGTAAATTAATCTCTTCTATCTTTCAGTATTTAAAATCCTTCATTTTTCTATGATGAATTAAATTCTGATAATAAGAAGTTTATGTTCTAAATGCTGTAAAAAGAAAAAGTATCCTCTTGCACCAACCCATGTTTCAACCACTTACTCCTCTTCTGAGCTCAAGACAGATGTTGGAAAGTTACCTGTTTCTCTAAACTATTTTGTAGATTCAGGCCTTGGATTGATTTATTCTCCACTACACACATGCGTTTCCACAGCCTTCAACAGCCAAAATGCCACCGATTACTCTGCTGAATATCCTAAACGTCCTTTAGTTGGTATTGTAAAGCTGTTTCTGTAGAATCTATGACTGATCACCGTAAGTATAATGGATGCAAACACCTAACAGCTAAGAAATTAATAAGTAAAAACCTGATTAAAAAAACCTATGAAATGTGAGGATTCTTACTTATTTCAAACATTAAACTCTTCACAATGCTCATATCCACTACTGATTTTGCATTTCATTATCTGCTGTGACAGGAAACTGATGTTCCCTGTACCTCTGTACGAATCCTACTGTCCTATTTTTCACCTAAGAAAATGTACGTATGGCAGCTAAAATCAGGACAGTAGAGGAACCGCTGCATCTGGTTAAAGCTAGGATTGACACGGGTCCTACAGAAATATGCAAACCAACATTTATGTTTCAATCTGAAGAGCAAATCGCTAAAACTATGCCAGTGGATCTGATCAGCCACCTTCTTCAAGCAGAAAATGACTTTATTTGTGTAAACATATTTTCTTGTTTAATTCTGACAGAACAGGAGAATCAGTTCAAGCACATTTTGGTTTTATTTTGCTAATAATCCTGAATGTGACATTTCACATTCTGTCATCCTTACCCACTTAAGGCAACATTTAAACAAATGTGTAAGCAAGATTATGACCATACCTCTTTAGTCCCTTTAAGACTTAAGCCCTCATGCCAATCGGGGCCTAAGGCACTGCCCAGTTCATCAGATGCTGCTGTAGGTCTGTCTTTTTCCTCACTTCCTGAGGGAAAGGGACGGAGAATATCAGATTTAGAGTGCACACTTCATTGCCTGCACAATTCAGAACAAGGATTCTCAATTAAAAGAAATACGATCAGGTTGCCAGAAGGGAAGACAAAAATGTGTAGTGTCCCAAAACCCATTAATCTGCAGACAAATCAAACTCCAAGACAATATTTTTAATACCTTTCAACTTTATGCCTTTCATTACTTGTCTCCAAAACAACCAAGCCACTGTCAGATGCCTGCATGGAGACCAACCCCCAACAGCACCAGGGTTCTGGAGACTCATGGTAGACTACGTTGCTGAATATCAATGCTAATTTTTAAATTGACATCCATCTGCTAGCAAGTGCACACCGTCCCCTCCACTGCACCAAAGTGCAAATTCTAACATACCATGATACATTTGAGGAACCTTGGCTGCCATTTTGTGATATTTAGGTTGACTTTTATACAATTTATTCTTCCAACCTGAAGTCTAAAACCACGCTCTTGGTTTTGTTATTATTTTAATCATATATATGTTTGTGTACTGTTTGTTCATGCAGTTCTTAACTGTTGTGATTAAGACTGCAGTTTCACTGCATCTGTAAATAACATTCTGTGAGGTTTCATCTGGTCCTTCAATAGCTTATTATGGGAGAGCTCCTTCCTACGTAATGCTGGCATAATTCAGAAAAACATTAAAATATTACAGAAAATAGAACAGGTTCTTCAGCAGATGGAATACAGGAAATGAAAAGTCAATTTGGCACAGCTGTAAAGATAAGCACATTTTTACAGATTTCAGGTAACTATCACACGCTGTCGTGTGTCTACATCAATTCTGGATGGGTTTTTATATCGCTTTTTTACTTTTGGGATTTTTTTTCTTTTTTTTTTAAAGAAGGAAATGCCATTGATGATAACAGTAAACCTTATTTATGGCCCACTAAATTAACTGACTGTAGGACTATCTTTAATATTAAATGCTGCTGCTGCAGTGTTAGGAGACTAAACCACCATACCTTCCATTGTATACTTGGTTCTTTTACATTCAATTGGAGTCTCTCTTTTTTCAGCAGTTAGCTTTGGAATGAGAAATTCAGCTGCTCCTGCATCAAAAAAAGTGTTCCCAATGGCTTTGTCTTTGATAGCCCAGATTACTTCACAGCCTTGGATTTCATACCTGTGGACATTTAAACAGTAGATAAAGTGACAGACTACCCGAAAGGGATCTGACTCCTAGCAACTCAACTAGAAGCATGCCAGGTTTCGTTCCAGAAGCTAGAAATAAGGCCTTTTAAGCCATCAAATCTACTACTGCTTCTAAATGTTTACATAAGGAACACATTAAAAAAAGAAACAAACCCTCTAAGTTGACAGGTCATACTTTCTCACCAGCACAACCTCAGCTGAACCAGGGCAGGGTGTGAAGGGAGACCTCAAATTTTTAATAATACTTAGTATTTCCTGTTCCCCACAATGAAGGAAAAAAAAAAAAAGTGCATGTTTGCCAGACTGCCCACTGCTAAGAACAGACATTTGGATATTGTTTGTACTACCTGGGACATGAACTAGTAGAGACATGCAGATGACAATCTAGTGAAAGTGAAAGAGTGATTCCCTGCAACACAAAACAAGACCATGTAATCGTGTAGTGCAGATGTTTCTCTAACCTAGCAGACTGCAGGACCACACAGTTCAATATCCTACCTGTGACAAAAGCCATGTCAGACGCTTCAAAAGCTCTATCCACTTAAATTAGGCTGGGTGCAAGATAAGCTGCCTCTCTATTCCTGTTACATCCTCTGTCTCCAGAAGTCAGACAAGTTTTATAACTTAAATATTGCCCATAATAGTCTTAACAGAAATCTCTGTTTGTGCCAAATCAGAAAAATGCTGTATATTCTTGAGATCTATGTGTCAAAACTTCTTCTGCAGATTGCTGAATTTTATGTGACAGAAAGCAGTTACACTGTCAAAAAGCTATTTTAATAAATTTTGCTACTAAATGCTCCAAGAGCTACAATTTTGTAAGTCAACCTTCTCCCAAAGTCATGCACACTAGATTTAACATAGCATTGTTAAAGATTTTATTTGCATATGTATCTTTAAAACTGAGCCATTTACTTACACTAATTCAAGTGCAATCCCACCATTTCCTACCACTACTATTCTCTCAGATTGAGCCAAATTCTTCTGAAAAGCCTGCATTGAGAAAGAAAGAAGTCAATTGCAACTTAGATCATATGTTCCCTGATCAGTTACATGCTTTTCAATATTTTCTTGCTCTCTTAAGTCTTCTTATTTTGATTTTCTCAGACTACTGATACACATTTTCTTATGCTAAGATCTGTTACAGAAGCAAATGAAACCTGTAAATTTTATCGTGTTAAGGAATGAAGTTATTGATACAGCCTTACAAGTCTCAAACTGAGACAGGAGAAGTTAAGTAATTACATTTAAGCCAGTTTGACAGAGCCCTTAATAGAATCCAGGAGACTTTTCTCTGTCCTACAGACCATTAGCATCGTGGTATCTATTAATCCAGTTTTATCACAACTTGCATAACTTTCACAGTAATTTGCATAACATTAAAAAGGCAAACTTACAGAAATATAGGAATTGAAAAAATTCTGATCAAAACCCAGGAATTCAAAAACTAATTCATAGCAAATCAAAGAACAAGTTTTATTTGTGAAAAAAAACTTTTGGAAAGAAAAAAGTCTCCAAATCAATCTTAGTGGTGAGAGAAAAAAATAGCCCAGACAGTTATTTTTTGAGCTCATAGTATAACCACTTCAGGTATTTTCTTTCAAACAAATCAAGAATCACGACTATCAGACCAACTATTGCAATTATATGAAAATCCGTTCATCCATGCTTCCAGTTTACCCAACTAATTGTATCAGAGAACCTAAACTGTAAAAGACCATGAAAACTGCAGTCCTTTAATCCCCTCAGAGAAGGATACTGAAGTTGTATCAGAGGGGACTAGTGAATGCAACCAGTCATCATTAAAAAAGAAACCCCAAAACCAGAAACAAGTATTTTCAGTCTCATTGAAAGTTCAACATCAGTTTTGACAAATGACAGCCTAGTCTACTGTTTCCCACAGTGGCCTACAGTGGATGCACAGGGAAGACCATCAGAAGACGACAAGCACATGACAATACTATCCTGGAACACCCTCACAGGTTCCAGACACCGCTGGTGCCACTCAGGTGGCATCTTTCTCTTCAATTTACACAAGATAAATTTATTGAGGGCTTCTTTGTATGTTTTTCTTCCCTCTTCTTCTTTTTTTTTTCTTTTTTTTTTTTTAACTCAGATAAAGTTTTAATATTGAAAACAACAACAATTTCATAGTTTCACTTCAGTTTGCTTGAAAAAGTAACTCCCTTTTTATTCTCAGCATCAAACTCCACAGCTGTTACATTATGGAGAAGCAGTGTTGAGTTTCACCCTGCCTCCTCTAGTTCTAAAGGCCTACAGCAGTGAAACCTCCCTTTCTACTTCCAAGCTGAAGTTTTAGTCTATTAAGTCATTCCTCACGTGAAAACCTTTCCACATCTTTGACTATAACTCTTCTCTGTACAATGAGAAGAGGCTACAGCAGAACTAGAAAAAAGCGTCCTTCGGTAGCTTTTCACAGTAAGAAGTAGCCCTTTGTACTGCGTACCAGATACACCTTCTCAGGGAAGTTTCTACTGGTACCTACTTCCTGTTTATATTTTCAGACTGGCTTCTGCCTGGAGGGTAAAAGAATACCACTTATTCTGGAGTATCACGTTAGAAATATTGTCTATGTGCTATCTATAAACGTAATAAATTTGGTGACTAATTAATTTATTTAATGGTATTTTAAGGTTATTTCTCTGCTACTGAAAGTGTTCCTATTTAAGGTCATATAATAACAAACATCATCTTATGTCTGGCCATTTCACTCCACAATCATTTTTAGTATTTTGTATCAGAAGGAGGAAAGTAAGTCCGAAACACATTTACCTGTGCACTGTCAGTATCCCGAATTCCTAACACATATGGGTTTCCTTCAGAAATTAATTTTGGTTTTGCTCCAGCACACAAGCAAAGTTTTTCATACATATATTCTTTCCCATCCTCAGTGAAAATTTTCTGTTCAAAATTAAAATAAAAAACCAATTTGAGACATCTAAGAGAACATCAGCTTTATTATTTTTCTTAATGTCACAGTATTATGCAGATATTAAAAGCTGTAACTGGCTTCTTAAAGAGCAAGCCTTCATACTCTCATTGAGTGTGTGTTATTTACTTGCATTACACTCACCACAGACTTACAAACCGAAATATATGACTTTATATGACGTACAAAATGGAAAGGGTACACAGCACACTCAAAGAAGATGAAATATAAAAAGTTACCACTTGGTGGCACTCTGTACTTGCTAACGGTGCTAAAAAATTCAGTTTTCTATGTGACAATGTCCCCCCACCCCAGTAACAGGTGTAGACCTATGCACTACTATGTATTAGCAATTAAGAATCTCATTCAAAACATTACAACAATGGTGGACCTGTGTTAACTAGGCACAGGCTAGAATACAGTTTAGAAAGACCGCAAATTCTGTTCTTTGCTAAAGAAAAAGGGTAGGCACTAAACAAGCTACATCATTTTGCAACAAGCAATACTTGTATTTTAACATTTTATGAGTTTATTTGTTATCTTCCAAACTATAAGCTAAATAGTTTACAGTGGTTTTGCACAAAGAGGTTTTAAAGGTTTTTGGAAAACAGAGGGAAAAGATCCTCCAAATCCATATACACGAAATACCCACGTTCACAGAGACATACCTAAACTAAAACATTATAATAATGATACAAGACTATAATTTCATTCAGAATATTAGCAAAATTATAGTCTAACTGGCATCCTATCTCTGTGACTTAAAATGAGCAAAACCAGGTTTGGATCTGAATGTGAGTTCCTGATAAATGCTGAAGTGAAAAATAACATGTCAAGGTGACACAGACACTAACAAGGATCTGTATATGCTGTACACTGCTCATACTTGCAACATATTTCCAGCTAAAAAGAAAGAAGAAAAGGTGGAAGTGTTGGTTCTTTCAAGAATTATGATTTTTTTATCATAAAGTTGTTAATATTTTGGTCTCTGTAGCAACAAGCAGTAATTTGGGAATCAGAGAGATCTCCAGTCAGGGGCTACAGAAATTTTGACACCTATACTGACAGACAGTATTGGTTTCATTGAATGGTTTCCTTGCTATTCCAATCAGGTATTCAATGCAATCTAAGTAGTCAAAGATTTAAATCTAAAAGATACGGTTTCTTAATTAACAAGTAATTTTTGATCACCAATTATGTCCCCTGCATATATTTCTACTTGAACAACAGTGGAAGCAATAAGTGAAATTAAAGCTAGGAAGTATTTGCTTGTAATTTTGGTAAATTATCACTTTTAATAACCAGAATGTTCTTCAACAGAATTTCATCCCCAAAATATTCACCTGTCTCTTAAATTTTTTTTTTTAAATAATTTGAAAAGCCACATAAAAGAGAAGACATTAGCTTACATGTTCATCACTTTTCAGTTGTTTTACTCCAGACTGTATAACTTTAATATTGGGATATCGTTTTTCTAGTAGAGAACTTGGTTGCTCTTCTACATCAAATTCCTCGAGTGTTTTGGAAACCTGCAGAAAGAAGAGATTTAAAAAATATGAATCATTTATTCATATCTTTTTCTAAAGCTTATAACGAAATGTGTTACATTCATTTCCAGTAAAGAAGTCACAACATGAAGTCCATACTGTCTCAAAAAATGTTATCATGTTACTGCTAAAAGTTCCTTTTTATATATAGAATCTTTTCATGCCTATTCCTGGTAAGGAGTCATAGTAGCACAGAGAATTTTAATTCTAAAGCTAGAGATTAAGCAAAAATGGAGAACCCTGATGGGTGCTCTAGCTGCTATGATGTTCTATTCCATATATAGACTATATTATTAGAGTTGGCAACACTGCTTTTTAACTCACCTGATGCAGTGTTAAGACCCTGTTTTTCTGTTTGCTATAACTTTGATACAATAACTCATGATGTTCCCCCCCGCAAGCATCTTCCTCTCCCTGGTATTTTGGGAAAAAAAAATTGGACAAAATAGCTTTGAGAATTACAGAAACACACTTTTGTGTGGAGTAAGTATTTTTATTCTATTTAACAAAAGATCTGGTGGCGTTTTTTTTCAAAATCTAATGACTCAAAAACCTGTTGTTACAGGTAGTTGGCCCACATGTCAGGAGAAGTGCTTACTGTTGTTCAGCTTGTAAGCAGGAAGTGTAAGTTTTTAGGCAAAAGAGATTCAAAGCGTTTACTCAGCATCTCATCTGTAGCCACTATCTAATATTTCAGAGGGTGGTGGAGGGTTGAAACAACCAGGCAAACCAGAACTTGGAAAACATTCAAGTTGATTTGGGGTTTCTTCCAGACAGGAGCAGCTGCACGGGAATCTCCAGGCCTTCTACCCTTCTACTTCATGGAATATTCAGAAAGTCTGGAACACAGCTAGGAACCAGAAACCACACCATGCTTGCAATTCAGAGAGAAAATAAGACGCTCATGTCCAAAACTTAGAGACACTGCCTTCAAATACTCTTTAGCTATTCCCTCATTCTTCAAATAGTGAAACTTCTGCCAGCGTGAATGACAGACTTCACATGCAACACCTAAGTATCTTTCCTGGATACTCATGACCCTACTGTCAGCACTCTCAAACTCAGAAGATGTTCTCTAGTTCGGTGTTACTCTACCAGTCTTACATAGACCTCTCAGTCTTTCAGCTATGTCCTAAGCATCCCATCAGCCCCAGCAAAAAACACAGCGTGAAAAGGAACAGATGCTGATACCCAGTTACAGCCACTAAATGCAAAGAACTGCTGTTCAAATCTCTCCATGCTCTATTTTCCCCCATAGCAATTTGAATCAGGCACTCGTACACCCGGAAGAATTATGTTAAAACCAGGCTGCCAGATAAACGGCAGAGTGGTCTTTCTTTACTTGTCGTGAGATATGCCTCACCTGTTGGATACCGTGTTTCAGAGAGTCATGAATATAAATGCCAGGTGGAAGCCCAGCTCTGGGTGTCTTAACTTTCCCTGAGAAGCAAAACCTAACTTCTTACTGGCTGGCAGCTTTGCAGCCCGAGTTCTGTACAATCCAGTCTTCAACTCTTTCCATGCCACATGGCAGAGTTCAGAGCTCCCTCAGAGTGGGAAAAGAGCAGTGCTTTCCAAGATCTGAGTACCGCTGCAAAACTAGTGTAATGAACCTAGTAGCCAGAAATCTGGACTCATGCATGGATTTTACTTTCTTTTTCAAACGAGCAGGAAAGCAGTCATTTGAATCACCAGCTGCTGGAGATGCAGACAAAGCTGAATGCAATTTCACAGAAGGCTGTCCCTTTTTTTGTTACTTGTCGGAAGTCTGTTTCTGCTGGAAATTCAAGCACGCTACCTTATAGGAGAACCACTAGCAAGACTAAGTTTCTTTAAGTAATTTATTCCAAAGATACCATTCCTTAAAATGGAGCATTCCCATTAGCAAAGCTGTGAAATAAAGCTTTAGTAACTTAGAAAGTATTTCAATTGTGTAAGTAAGTACCCAGTTTAACCTTTGCTCGGACATTGTGAGTATATTCACCATTTACTGATGATTATGAATCACTATCTCTCATCAGTCCAACTAAAACTTACCACTGCAGTCACACTAATGTGAAAACAAGTTCAAAATCATAAGCATTTTCAGGATTAGGTTCTAAATTACCTGTACATACACAAACTTCTGAAGAGGTCTTACCATAAGAAAAATTAAGTCTCTCTTACCTGTTTGAAATTCGTTACAGCTTTTATAACTGGAGAAGCTGTCATTAAAAAAATGTCTTCTGATGGGAATTCCACAGCCAGCTTGTAAAGAAACAGAAATCACAATTGAGTGAATAGGGTTCATCAGTAGATTTTGACTTTAAGACAATAAAATTATTGGTGAAAAGTAATATGTGTTACTACATTACTTTAGTCTTGTAGAATCCCATTGGATAAATACTACTTCAAGATTATGGAAGGGTAACAACTGAAATGAACAGGATTCAGAGACCCAAGACTTTCATTCATTCACGCACAAATGTATCTTCAAGAACTGCAGCCATAGTGTAAATGACTACTCAAGAGACTGTTCTTACAGTATTCTGAAGACCAGCTGCAGGACCACACTATGAGCACGTGATTTCTGGAGATACCCAGTTGCTGGACATGACTTTTTTTTTACTGCACAGCAGTGACTAATTGTTCACAGATTGCATTTTGACAGAGGAAATGCTGATTTCTATTGGCTATTTTGAATGTTATTTAGTAAACTGATAAATGGATTATCATCTTCAGAGTGCTACTAAGTAAGAGAAGGCTTTTACAGGCCCTCAGCCAAAGTGAAGAGCTCCCATTTTCAATGGGCATTTCTCTGCCACAGAAAATAAATCAGCTCTGTCAAGTAGAAAACACTCATCTCTGGGGTACAGACAAAACTCAAGGGTTCCCCGTCACCGACATCCTACGGATGAACAGAACAGTTGTATAAGCCACCAAGAAGCACATTCCATGAGGTACATGAGCAAATGAGTTATGAAGGGACTAGCACGTATTCCTGTAGCTCAGATAGGAGCAATCTAGCAGAGCCTTCTGAAGGTGAAAGTGGCGAATCTGGTTTAAGGGAGATTCACGTGGCCAAACCCTTGGCAAATACAAATTAATTTAACGAGGCTACATAAACCCTCATGTAATCCACGCTTTATAGCATGAATCCCTCGCACGTGTTTCTCACATACTGTAGCTGTACGCTCTGTACTGACAGACAGGCTGGCACGTAACGTGCTGTGCTGCAGCAGTTGCTCCCAGCTGTACCTAGTAAGCCGCAGAAGAACTACAGGATGCTATGGAACACACCTGATCACGTTCAGTATCTTTATTAATGACACACAGCAGGATTGAGCGCACCCTCAGCACGTTTACAGATAATACCAAGCTGAGCGGCGCAATTGATTACTGAGGGGGACAGGATGCCATCCACAGGGAGCCCGACAGGCTTGAGGAGTGGCCCATGGTGAACCTCATGGAGCTCAACAAGGCCAAGCGCAAGGCCCTGCACCTGGGCTGGGGCAATCACCAGTACCCGAACAGGCTGAGGGGGTGACGGGGCTGAGAGCAGCCCTGCAGAGAAGGACTTGGGGGTACTGGTTGATGAAAAATTCAAAAAGGGCTGCCAACGTGCTCTTGCAGCCCAGAAAGCCAATCATATCCTGGGCTGCATAAAAAGAAGCATGGCCAGCAGGTTAAGGGACCACACCTGGAGTACCACACCCAGCTGTGGGGCCCCCAGCACAAGACAGACCTGGATCTGTTGGAGCAGATCCAGAACTAGGCCACAGTCAGTGGTCAGAGGGGTGGAGCACCCCTCCTACAAGGACAAGCTGGGAGAGTTGGGGTTATTCAGCCTGGAGAAGAGAAGGCTCTAGGGAGACCTTATTGTGGCCTTTCAGTACTTAAAGGGGGCTTACAAGAAAGACAGAGAGAGACTTTTTATCAGGGCCTGTAGTGACAGGACAAGGGGTTAACAGTTTTAAATTGAAAGAGGGTAGATCTAGCTTAGGTGTAAGTAAGAAATTCTTTACTACGGTGGTGGTGAGACCCTGGAACAGGTTGCTCACAGACGCTGTGGATGCCCCATCACTGGAATTGTTCAAGGCCAGATTGGGCGGGGCTCTGAGCAACCTCATCTACTGGCAGATGTCCCTGCCCACAACAGGGGGGTTGGAACGAGATGACCTTTAAAGGTCCCTTCCAACCCAAACCATTCTGTGATTCTATGTAATAATCATCAGACGTACGCTGTAACCCAAAATGTTATGACTGACATCATGTACTTTGCATCACTTACACATGCTCAAATGCTTACCCCTGCCCTCTTATTAAGATTTAATGGTTGTTTGAAACATTCATTCAGTATTATTAAGGTTACTTCATTTCTTTACCAGTTAAAATACTGAAATTAGAAATCTGCCAGATAGAATATTAGGTTTATCCATGCATTTGGAAATGTGCAGGTCATCACAATGCGGAAGAAAATGTTGCAATATAAGCATGAAAGGCAGAAACTATGTAAGACGTGAAACATTTTGTGACAGAGAAAATAAAACTAATTCGAGCTTTGATGGAATATTCAGCTTTTCAGACATTTTGTCAGAATATTTCAAAATTTACTCAAAAACTAACTAATGCTACATGAATCATTTTGAGCCAGACCTGATGGTTCTCAGATAGCTGCCCAAGAAGTCTGAACTACAAGACACCATACAATTCATACCCAAAATGCAATATGATGGACAAGTTGTTTATTGCCACTATGCTCCACAGAATTGTACTTGCTCAAAACCAGGACTGAGAAAATTGTGTTCAATCTTCCTCTTTTACCTAAAGCATGCGCCCACCTATGGATGGATGACACAGAACTCCTTCCAGAACACACAATGCCGCTTTTAATGGACTTGGTGAATTAAAACCTATGCTAGAAGACCACTAATACTGCTAACCATGCTTCCTGCAATACTAAGAGATGAGAAAGAGAGGCAAGTCCCTGTCATCACACAACAATCTAATTTGGGTTTTCCGGGAAAAAAAATAATGGTGAGGGAAAGTAAAGAGCATAAGAGGTGTGAATTACAGCAGTAAGTGGCACTCTCTGTGAGCTTTGGAAGAAAACAAAGCCTGAACTCTGTGGCACTAACACAGCAGAAAGCATTTTGAAGAAAACAATGTATTTTAGTCCCTTTTGTAGCAATCTTAAAAGATTACAGACATCCAATATATACTGGAAATAACTGTATTGTGAAACAGGATCATAGCGATTTGATAAAATTCTAAATTGCTTCCAGGAAAACATAAAGTCTCTGGGAGCATTATATATTGACCCAAATCTCATTCTTGCAAGCACGTAAGAATACACAAGAGCCTTAATTATTTGACTAGTTTAAACAACTTCTAAGGGATTACTAATATAGCATTTAAGTGCCTTTAGTATTAAAGCCCACATATTACATTACCCATGAATAAAAGAAAAAAAATCAAACTAATAAGTGGTAGAAACAAATTCCATAAAGATGGAGAACAGTATCAAATCTTTTTGTAATGTAGTCTGCATGTGGTTTATACAATTATGTCAGAAATGTAATAATATCACTTCATCACCAGAGAACAGATGCCTCGGAAACACAGTCTTTATACTGCTTTGTAGTTCTAACAGCCAAAATATTCTTCCACATTTCATTCAAATTACCTTGTTACTGTTACTTTATAAACACCCAAAACTTTGAAACCAAGAAACTAACAAATTTAGAGCTTGAGCTCATGGAAAGCTGAAGAGATTGGACAATCTCCACAGGTGTACAGCCCTAAAGATGGATCCAATAAAAACAGAGCAGTATTTTTATAAAAAAGAGCTCATCACAGCAGCCCTCACCTTAGCTACAGTACAATCCTTCATGGCTATGAGGAATAACGCATGCACTGCTCCTTCAAGTTTCTGACCTCTTGACTAGCATACAGAATGCCAGCGTTCTCAAGTTACAAAGTTTTAGTCCTCTTTTTATGAAGCGGTCATAACCCTTATCAGGTTATCTGCAGGACAGTTTTAACCTCATGAAAAATATTTCTAGGCAGATAAATATTGTTACATTACAACATTGCTTCACTGGGGCCGGTTTTGTTTCATTTCTTTTTTTTTTTTTCCCCCCTAAGAGGGACAAAATACC